ATACTTGCATCTCATGTCAAAGTGCCTTGGTTTGCATCCCGACTCCACTTTGAACCCAGCTTCCTGCTCCTGCACACCCTGGGAGGCAGCAATATGGTTCAGTTCCTGGGATCCCTGCCACCGACGTGGGAGATCCAGATGGAATTCCTGACTCTTGACTTTGGCTTTCTAAAGTCTTGGCTGTTGTTGGAGTTGGACAGTGAACCAGCAGGTGGAAGAGATCTCTGTCTCTCTTCGTCAATTTCAAACAAATAAAAATTTAAACACATGTATATTAAAAAAGGACAAAGTGGGGAAGTCTTCTGATACAAGCCCTCCAAAATAGATACATTTTACATCCCTTCATAAAATTTCCAGTAATTTTAAGAACACTTCAGAAAGTTTGCAGAATAATGAAATTAAATAACTTCATTTCAGTACCAAATGCTTTTAATCCATGCATGCTTTTGTCATAACACATTTGTCTATGAATTTTCAGAAGACCCTTTGTGCTAGTGTAGGAGCTGGTTTTTAATGACATGGAAATATTCTGGGAAGTTTTAATTAATGAGGCTTTATTTTATTTTCATGGAAATGTTTTCATGAATGTTTAATTTATCGAATGGTGTGTCATAAAATTTACAGGCTTTAAGAAGTTGAAAGGGTCATAAAAATGTGGATGGAAAATTCACATTACCTTTTTTTTTTTTAAAGATTTATTTGTTTTTTTTGGAAAGGAAGATTTACAGAAAAATGAGAAAAAGATCTTCCATCCACTGGTTTACTTCCCAAATGGCTTAACTGGTTTGAAGCAAGGAGCTTCTTTCAGGTCTTCCATGTGGATACAGGGTCTCAAGGACTTGAGCCTTCTTCCACTGATTTCTTAGGCCATAAGCAGGCAGCTGGATTGGAAGTGGAGCAACCAGGACATGAACCAGTGTCCATATAGGATCCCAGCACTTGAAGGAAAGGACTAACCAATTAAGTCATGACACCGGCCAAAAATCTTGTTTTCTTTCTTTGTTTTTAAGATTTTAAAATTTTTATTGGAAAGGCAGATTTACAGAGAAGAGATAAAATGAGAGATTCTCCATAGCTAGTTCACTCCCCATGTGGCCACAACAGCTGGGGCTGAGCTGATCCAAAGCCAGGAGCCAGGAGCTTCCTCCAAATCTCCCACACGGGTGCAGGGTCCCAAGGCTTTAGGCCATCCTGTACTTTTCTAGGTCATAAACAGGAGCTGGATGGAAGTAGAGCAGCCAGGACACGACCAGTGCCCACATGGGATCCTGGCATGTGCAAGGCGAGGACTTAGCCACTGAGCCATTACACTGGGCCTGAAACTTGTTTTTTAAACAATGGAGTGAGCTACAGGTGACTGCTCTCTACAAAGTAAATTTTATTTGTTTTAGTTGACAGAGCATATGCTAACATTCCCATGCCTAAATGCCTGCAATGGCCAGAACTGGGGCAATCAAAGCTCGACCCGGAACTCAGTTCATTGTCTTTCCCATGGAGGACAGGCTTCCGGCTAGTTGTTCCCCACACCATCACCACTGAGGATGCACATGAGCAGGAAGTTGGAAACCAAACCCAGACTAGAACCTTAGAAATACAACATGGCATGAGAGTCCCAAATGGTATGTTAACCGCCTGCCCAACACCTGCCCTTGATTTCACTGTTTTTCTTTAAAATTCACTCCCCAATGGCCTCCACGGCCAAAACTGAGCGAATCGGAAGTCAGGAAGCAGGAGCTTTCCCCTGGCCTCCCAGGCGGGTGCAGCATCCCAAGGATTTGGACCGTCCTGTCCTCTACTGCCTCCCCAGGCCACAACCAGGGAGCTCGAAGTGGAGCAGCTGGGTACCGAACCGGTGCGCCTAAGGGATGCCGGCGTCGCAAATGGAGGATTAGCCCCGGCTTTACTGAGTCACCATCTGCGTTACTGAGAGCCCCGGGTGCATTCTGTGTCATTTGCTATGCTGGTCCTTGGGAAGAACCCGCAGCAGGCCGTGTAGACCAGCAACTAACCCAATATAGACGCCGAAGGAGCCTATCTGACCTTCGACTCCTGACCCTGCGTTTCCCTCGGCACTTCCGCCCTCACTTGGGTTCCCGCCTCGGCGAAGGGCGGGCCCTGGGGCTGCGGCAAGTGCCCAGCGGCCGGCGGTTAGGGGGCGGTGCCTGCCCGGGGTGGGTCTCGCGAGGGCGGGATTGGCGGAGGCACTCTCGCACTAGCCTGCCGGGTAGGGGCGGAGTCTAGTGCCGGGCCGGGCCGAGAGTAAGGATCCGCGGTCCTCCCTCCGAGGCCGGGGGCGGCAGGCGGGCCCGCGAGTCGATCCCGGATCCGGAATCTCCCGGGCAGGAGCGGAATCGGGGTCGGGCCCTGGCCCCATAGCCGGCCTCGCGAACTTGGGTTAGGAAATCCCGGAACCCGGATCCGCAGACCCCGGAACCCGGAATTAAGAGCGGAAAAGTCCCGGATCGCGGAGCCCTAGAGCGCCGAGTCCGGGGCCGGGAGCCCCGATCGCAACCCCCGCGCGGGACGGGACGCAGCGATGTCGGGCCGTGGCGCGGGCGGGTTCCCGCTGCCCCCGCTGAGCCCTGGCGGCGGGGCCGTGGCAGCGGCCCTGGGGGCGCCACCACCCCAAGGGGCACCCGGCATGCTGCCGGGACCGGCGCTCAGGGGACCGGGCCCGGCTGGAGGCGTGGGGGGCCCCGGGGCCGCCGCCTTCCGCCCTATGGGCCCTGCGGGTCCCGTGGCGCCGTACCAGGTGAGGAGGACCGGGCGCGCGACGCCGCGAGGGCGCCCCGGGCAGACGGCGTTGGGAGGGCTTCGGGTGGGGTTGAGCCTCCTGGGCCGAGAGCACGGGACTCGGCGGAGGACCGAGCCGGGGGCAGGGCCAGGCCGGGGGCGCTCCGGCCGCAGCTCGGTTATGGCGGAGGCGGCGCGGGGAGAGCTGGGCGAGGGGGTACCCTGCGGCGGTGGCTTGAAGCATCGAGACGGCTGCCTTGGCACGGACGCTCTGAGGAACTGAGAGATGGAGTTGCGGTCGCGTGGAGCGGGCAACCTAGTGTCCAGGGTCCTGGCACGTGATGAGCAAGTTTTGGTCCAGGCTGCCACTAAGGCAACGACCAGGGTTACTCTGCAGTCGCCTTGCTGCTGTTCCAAGTCCGCCCTGTTTTTTTGTTTTGGTTTTTCTCTCGCTGGGAGCTGGCAGGGTCGTAGCTTGTCTGAGATGGCTCCCAGCTGCTGCTAATGAGGCAGGCGGCCTGGCTTCCCACGGCCCAGAAAGGCTGAGGTTGGGACTAGGGGGTTCTGGCCTTTGCACGGGGTGCAGATTCTACTCCCAGTGGTCAGGGTCAGGTGACCGGGCCTGAGGGAGGAACCGCTCCCAGGAAGAGCCGACTCTGGGCAGCGTCGGGCCCGGGTTTGCTCTCTGGCATCTGGAGGGGCAGAGCTGTGGCACCGTGCTGGGCTGGGGCTGCAGGAGCTGGCCTCTCCACCTCCTGCGCTGACTCCTTGGGGATTCTGCTCCACCTGGAAGTCCACAGAGAGGCGGAGCCGGGCTGGGTCTGGCAATGGAGGTGGGAGAGCTCAACCCAGCCCTGCTAGCGGGGTTAGGATTTCCTAGTCCCGGATTCTGCAAAGACCATACTCCAGCCACAGCGCCCTGCGTTTGCTTCTTGGCAGTCTCCCTAAGTCCAGCACCTTGCCAGGACCCCAAGTGTTTGGAGACAGTTTCCTCTGCTCCCTGAAAGAAAAACAAAGGGGGAGCACTCGGGGTCCCTGGTAGGCAGCTGGGCTCTTCCATTCCCCAGGGGAAATTCGCATTAGTGATTCCAGGACTTGGACCTGCTTGCTCAGACCTGGCCTGGGAACCCTTGGATCCATGGCCTTGGAGGGACCTGGAACAGACAGACGCCTCTCCCGTTTCCTTGCATGCAGCCCAGAGGAAGTGTGGCCCTGGGAAAGCCCCCCAAGAGGATGGACTCTCCAGTGTTTTGTGGGACGCGGCCTTGGCCTTGTGGCAAGGCAACGCTGGCCGGCTGGCCCTCCCTGGGCTCTCAGGCATGGGGGAGCAAAAGATAGCCCCAAGTTGGGCCTTTCCATCTCACCTCCAGCTCCACTGGGCTGAATGTGTAACAGCCTGCTTGGCATCTCTGCAAGTCCCCTTGGGTGACTGCCCGGAAAGGGGCTTGAGATCTGGGGAACAGAGGGTCCCTGGGTGCCAGCAGGAGCTCGAAGCACCAGGATACAGATGGGGAGGCCCCCGAAAGAAGGCAAATGCTGACCTTCCTCCAGAGTAAGACTCCAGTTGTGGATCACTGCTGTCAGCTGGGTTTGTTCTGGAGTTCTCTCCATGGGTAGAGGAGCAGTCTGTCCTCCAGCTGGTGCCCTCAGGCCAGCCACCTGAGGTTTGGGAGGAGATTGAGCACCTGAGTCCCAGGGGGCTTCACCTCTCACCTCAGCAGGGGCCCAGCCTGAGCCCTGTACTCCCCCTCCCTGTGGTGGTGGACAGGCTGATGTGGCAGAAGGGTGATTAGGTCACTGCCCATTGTAGGGGCACAGGGGGCTGAGCCAGGCCTGCCTCGCCCTTTCCAGTGTGGAGGGAGGCTACGAGTTTAGGGGCTGCTTGTGTTTAATTTTGCTTTTGTTGTTATTACTATTTTTATTTGAAAGGAGAGAGAGAGACAGAGAGAACCTCCATCTGCTGGTTCACTCTCCAAGTGTTTGCAACGGCCAGAGCTGAGCTAATCTGAACCTGGGAACTAGGAGCTTCCTCCTGGTCTCCCACGTGGGTGTAGGGTCCCAAGGCTTTGGGCCGTCCTCTGCTGCTTTCCCAGGCCTAATAGGGAGCTGGATGGGAAGTGGAGCAGCTGGGTCACGAACCAGCACCCTTATGGGTTGCAGGCACCAGAGATAATTAGCCTGCTGCATTATCGTGCTGACCCCATTTTTGGCCTTTTAAAAACCTTCTTTTTCCTTTCTTTGAGTTGTGCTTTTGCAGGGGGTGGAGTTGGAGCACCTGCTTCCTAAGGTGATAGTGGTGGAGTGGGTTTGGTGAATGCCCTGGTGCATTTGTGGGGACCGCAGGGCCCTAGCTTGCCTCTGCAGTTGCTCCTTGCCCCTCTTCTCCAGCACTGGGAAAGTTGGAGACTGGCCATGGAGCAGCCAGGCGCAGAGCTGTAGCCACAGTGAGGGTTTTTTTTTTCCCTTCCTCCCCCTATAATCCCTGGCAATGACTCTTTAAAGCAGACATTGCTGTCTTTTGTCTTTACTTTCCACAGTCCTGACAAATCCCTTCCTGATGGGAGAGACTTAGGGCCCCCGAGACACCTCCCCCCACCCCCCAACAGCCTCCCTCCTACTGTACTCCTTGTCCGCCACAGCTCTGGGTTGTGTTTTGCTGCATCTGGTCAAGTATCTGACCCTGCACGTTGGGAATGTGCTGGAAAGAGGGGTGGGGTCAGCATCTCCTCTGCCCACTTTGAGGGGGGCGTGGGGGGAGGGTCCTGGACTCCCTGAGAGTCTCCAGCCAGCCTGGCTGGGTTGGCTGGTTGTGCTCGTTGCATAATCTGGGCCCTGGGGCCAGCCCTGTGAAGTTGCCAGGGACAGTGTGTGCAAGGCTGAGCTGCTAAACAGGCCTTGCCAGCAGCTGCTGCGAAGAAGAGGGCTTGCGAAGAAGAGGGTTGGGGGCAGAGGTATTCCCTGAGGGGCGCCACAAAAACAGCAGGGAGCTGGGCCTTAGGTGGAAAGCCTTCTGCAGGCATCCCCTGTCTCCTAGCTTCCTGCTGCTGCTCCAACCCCTGCATCCAGGACAATCCTACCCATCCTCTAGCTTGGGCTTACTAGGGTTAAGTTGAACTCTAGCCAGTCCTGGCTGCCAGGTAGTGCCTAGAGCACAAAATGCCAGCTGCTCTCACTCCCACAGGCCTCCCTAGGGCCAAAGATTCCCTTTTGGGGTCTCCTGGCACAGTGCTCTGGGCGTGATGGTAGGGAAGCAAGAGAGGAGTCCAGTTCTGGGCTGTGGGTAAGGCCATATGGTGACCAGATGGTCTGTGAGCTATGTCTGCCAGAGGCTCCCCCCCCCAGCTGGGCCATGTCCAGCCCATCCTGTTGCAGGTGACTCCCTGGGGTGCTGCTGGCTGACAGGCTTACCAGCTCACCGGCTGCTTCTCTCTCTTAAGTGGGCATCAGGGCTCTGCCTTGTCAACCTGCTTATACCTGCTGTGACTGTACCCCCAAGCTGCTGGTGGTGCTGTACTTGGCCCTTAAAATGGGTTCAGAGAAGGAAGGAAGTGCTTGGTGGGAGGCTGAGGGTCTACTGTGTGCCAGAGCTGGCTGGTTACAGCAAGTGGGCACAGCATGCCAGGGCTAGGAGGTGGCCCTGGAGAGCCCTCCTCCACCCCCCCCACCCCATCCCCAGGCCTCTGCCAGCAGGTTCCTCCCACCCCCAGCCTCCTGTCTGCTCATTTGCTGGCAGGACTACGAGGTGGGAGGAGCGGGCAGGTGTGGTTTACGCCCTGCACTCAAGCACCGGCTTCCCTGCTTCCCTTTGTTCCTGGCACTCCAGTGGGGCTGTGTGTGCTGATCGGGCCTAGGCTAGCTGGAGGGAGAATGGATGGCCTGAGCTACTGGCCACGCAGCAGTCCACCACTGACCTATACACTCCCACTGTCTCACTTCCCCCAGCGGCCGGGCATGTCACCCGGGAGCCGGATGCCCATGGCTGGCTTACAGGTGGGACCCCCAACTGGCTCCCCATTTGGCACAGCTGCTCCACTGCGTCCAGGCATGCCCCCCACCATGATGGATCCATTCCGAAAACGCCTGCTCGTGCCCCAGGCCCAGCCCCCAATGCCTGCCCAGCGCCGAGGGTAAGACCCACCATTTTTCTCAGCCTGTCTAGCCAGCTTGAGGGGTAACCAGGGCTTCCTTCTGTCCCAAGAGCTTGGATGATGGAGGAAGAATTCTTGAGGTGGGGGGGATCCTGGGAATGGGAAGCACTGCGCCCCTAACTGGGTTTCTGTCCTCCCAGGTTAAAGAGGAGGAAGATGGCAGATAAGGTTCTACCTCAGCGAGTGAGTGGGAGTGTCAGGGAGGGGAGAACAACTGCCCCAAGCCTGGGGGTGGGGGGTGGGCAGCAAGAGGAAGGCGCCAGAGCTGGGGTGGAAGTAGACCGGTTAATTTCTGCCCCTTTGCCAGATCCGGGAGCTCGTCCCAGAGTCTCAGGCATACATGGATCTCCTGGCTTTTGAGCGGAAGCTGGACCAGACCATCGCCCGGAAGCGCATGGAGATCCAGGAGGCCATCAAGAAGCCTCTGACGGTAGGTAGAGCTAGCCCCACTGCTTCGCGCCATTTCTGCCAGGGGCCACACCAGGGTCGGGGTCAGGCCAAGAACAGGTTTCTCAGGTGCAGGAACTCTGCGTGTTGGGACCAGCATGTTTTAAATGGATATAAAATAGAAAAATACCAGGAAGCACTTGGCATATTACGTCATCAAATTCAGAAATTTTCATATATGTGAATCCTGGGTCATGATTTAAAGTGTAAAGCTTATGCATCATGGTTGAAAGTTTGAAAGCCACTAGATTGGAGGTTAGGAAAGCTTAGTTCCTTTCTCCATTTTTCAATGAACCTCTTTTTAAATAATCTAGAACAGTCCTCTGCATGGTGAAGGCCTTGCAGGAGGCTGGATCTTTTGGGGACTGTGATGGATGTCTGGGTGTCATTTAAAGTAAGAGGTGTCTGATTGGCTTGCTAGTGCCATGATATGTCTGTCACACATATGTGTCTGTATATGTTGGCTCTGTGGCTGGGATTTACTACTTTTGCTGTGGCCCGCTGTGCTCAATGTTGAATGCATTTAGAAGGGAAGACTGGACAGCGTTGTTTTCTATCATGCTGGTCCACCTCTAACTGATTGCCTTTCTTTTTAGCAAAAGCGAAAGCTTCGCATCTACATTTCCAATACATTCAGTCCCAGCAAGGCAGAAGGCGATAGTGGGGGAACTGCAGGAACCCCTGGGGGAACCCCTGCAGGGGACAAGGTGGCTTCCTGGGAACTACGAGTAGAAGGAAAACTGCTGGATGATGTGAGTTTGGAAGGAAGGGAGGAGAGCTGGGCTGAGGGTGGGTTAAACCTGGTTATAGACACTTGGGGTCTCGGAGAAGCCTTGTCATAAAGGAGAGGGCACGGCTCTGGCATTGGGGGTTGGTTTGCGTGATTGTTACAGTAGCTTCCGCGTGGGCAGCAGTCCCTTGTTAGTGAGCAGGTGCTGTCTTGCTGCCTCCGCTGTGTTCTGCTGCCCACTCTGCCAGTCTGGCTGCCCCGCTGTGGGCCCTGAAGTCCTCAGTGCCCTGAGCTGCAGGATAGAACAGAGCTCCACAGGGCAGTTGGCCTAGTTTAGTCGGAGAACCAGCAACACCCTTCTTATACCCTCCTTCATGCCCAGCCTAGCAAACAGAAGAGGAAGTTTTCTTCATTCTTCAAGAGCCTTGTCATTGAGTTGGACAAGGAGCTGTATGGGCCTGACAACCACCTGGTGGAGGTGAGCATGAACCTAAAGTTGAGAGAGCAAGATGGCATGCCAGCTGGGTCGCCATGGCCTTGGTGCCATTACAGGTCTAGGTATTTATCTGTGACCACCCCTTGTGGGTATGCTTTGTTCCCCTCCCAGTGGCACCGTATGCCCACCACCCAGGAGACAGATGGCTTCCAGGTGAAGCGGCCCGGAGACCTCAATGTGAAGTGCACCCTCTTGCTCATGCTGGATCACCAGGTGACAGACGCCCGAATCAAAGCTGGGCCTTGGGGATGGGGGAGGGGAGGGAAGCAGGTGCCTCAGACCCACCTTGACCCTGTCTTGTTAAAGGCCTCCCCCTTACTCTGTTCCGTCTCTAGCCTCCACAGTACAAATTGGATCCCCGACTGGCGAGGCTGCTAGGCGTGCACACCCAGACAAGGGCTGCCATCATGCAGGCCCTGTGGCTTTACATCAAACACAACCAGCTGCAGGACGGGCACGAGCGCGAGTACATCAATTGCAACCGTTACTTCCGCCAGGTTAGCAAGATGCTGCCCTGTCTCCTGCTGCTGCCCTACAGTCCCACCAGTCTTAGAACTGAGTCCTGGCCAAGGCCCCGGGCATTACCAAACCTCGGTACTCTCTCCAGATCTTCAGTTGTGGCCGACTCCGTTTCTCTGAGATCCCCATGAAGCTGGCCGGGCTGCTGCAGCATCCAGATCCCATTGTCATCAACCACGTCATTAGGTAAAGGGAAGGTGGGGGTGGAGAGACTCCTCCAAGAGCAGTAATCTTACCCAGATCTGAAGCCACAGGGAAGGGACAGGTTTCTTGGGCCCCCAAGAGCGTCGATGGGATCCACTCTGGATCCCCCTGGCTGATCCAGGTGGGCAGATACAGCCCTGAACTTTCCTTCCTCCCTGTGCATCCACAGTGTGGATCCTAACGACCAGAAGAAGACAGCCTGTTATGACATCGATGTGGAGGTGGATGACCCACTCAAAGCCCAGATGAGCAACTTCCTGGCTTCCACCACCAATCAGCAGGAGATTGCCTCCCTGGATGTCAAGGTGGGCCTCTGGGAGCAGGCAGCTGTCAGGCCCCTCTGTGCTTACAGCACCTTGAACTTTGGGACTGTCCTATGGGAACAGAGCCCCAAAGGTGAGGGCCACATGACACGGGCATTCCTCTTCCCAGATCCACGAGACCATCGAGTCTATCAACCAGCTGAAGACCCAGAGGGATTTCATGCTCAGCTTCAGCACTGACCCCCAGGACTTCATCCAGGAGTGGCTGCGTTCCCAGCGCCGGGACCTCAAGGTGTAGTCCTGTTTTCTGAGGGGTAGCCCATGTGAAGCTTGGGATGACTCCCACCCCATGGGGCAGGCTGAGAGTGATGCCAACGCTGTGGCTTTCCTCCGGATTCCTTGCAGATCATCACCGATGTGATCGGCAATCCTGAGGAGGAGAGACGAGCTGCTTTCTACCACCAGCCCTGGGCCCAGGAGGCAGTGGGGCGGCACATCTTTGCCAAGGTGAGGCACTACCACACTGACCCTTCTTTGCTTGTGAACATCAGAGGCCTGAGCCATGGTCTCTTCTCTCTCCAGGTGCAGCAGCGGCGGCAGGAACTGGAACAGGTGCTGGGCATCCGCTTGACCTAACTGCTCAGGGACTGCATCCTTCTGCCCAGGCCTGGAGCTCAGAAGGGGACCAGCCAGCAGGTCCCAGCCGGGACTGCAGACGGGGTGAGGGGTGTCTGCTAGCACTCTACTCCCCAGCTTTAGTTTCATAAGCATAGTGGTAGGATTCCTTGTTGCTTGGTTTCCAAAGCCTTATTCCTTCCTTTCCATGTTGGCTTTAGCCGGGTTCATAGGTACCTCCCCTGCCCCTACAGGCAGGCCTCGTGGGACCACTGGAGGCTGTGCTTTGATGTAATTGAGACCTTTAGGAACCAAAGGCGCTGGGTTTGCATGTTTACAGGCCCCCACCCCAGGGTGAGCAAGAGCTGGCTCTGCGGAGGGAGCCAGGCGAGGAAGACGAGGCACAGCCCAGACTCTTCCTAACCTCCTGAAACCAAAGTTCTTGGCCATTCCTATAAGCCCAGCCTTGTTGCCGGTTTTTCTCCTTTTCTCTGGGTATTTGCACTATTTGGGAGCAGGATTTTCTATGTGGGAGCCACTTTTTTTGTACAGGGGTATGTTGGGGGTTTTCAGGGAGCCCTATTTGGTGCCTCCTCATTCTCTTTCTTCAATCTATGCAAGCGGCTCCAGCCGCCATCATCTCCTAGGACACCAGCGGGCTGGGGAGGTGACACCTCCTGGAGGGGGGAGGGCGGGTGTGCAAATGGTGAAGGGCAGGAGGTGTCTGGGGGGATCCCTGCTGTCCTTGGGGTACTTGGGAGGGTGGGTGGGTCCAGGGTTTGGCAAGTGCCACTTCTGGCAGGTTTGGAACTTCCCAAATAAATCCTTTTGTTTATTGGTGGTGCCCAGACCTGGTCATTTGAACGGAGCGGAGTCCTGACAGGGCTTACACCACAGAGCTTTATTTGAGGGGTCCATGCCAAGCATGAGAACTCACTTCCACAGTTTCTTAATGGACATGTTTTTCTCACTATCCTTCTGCATGACCTGGAGAAAAAGAGAATTAGATCATGAATCCTGGGCACACAGTCTCCCAGCAGCTGAGGCAAGGTCAGGGGCTGTACCTTTGCAACTGCCATCTCAAAGTCCTCCTGGGTGACATGGACTCGCCGTTCCCGCAGGGCATACATGCCAGCCTCCGTGCACACACCCTAAGCAGGGAAAGCAACTTGAGCCTCCCCTCCTGTCCCCTGAGGCCTGGAGTTTCCTCCCACCCCCAGCTGGGGCCCTGGCTCCCCGAGCACCTTCACTTCAGCCCCTGATGCTCCTGGCATCAGCTCAGCAATCTTCCTCAGGTTGATCCCTCGGGTCAGGTTCATTTTCCGAGAATGGATCTTCAGAATGTCCAGTCGAGCCTAGAGATGGAAGAGGAAAGGGCTGAGCCCCACAACCCACCCCGTAGCCTTGGGCCACAGTAGGCACTGTCCCTCACAGACCTCTTCATTGGGGGGCGGGAATTCGATTTTCCTGTCAATGCGCCCTGGGCGAAGCAGTGCAGAATCTAAGATGTCAATCCGGTTAGTGGCCATGATGACCTGGGTACAGAAAGGTGGTGAAGTCAGCTAAGTGCCTGGGCCTGCCCAGCTCCGAGGGCCATCCTGGGCCTGCCCATCGAAGTGGCCTTACCTTGATGTTCTTAGTGGCCTCGAAGCCATCCAGCTGGTTGAGCAGCTCCAGCATGGTGCGCTGCACTTCACTGTCCCCCCCAGAGCCACCCTCGAGGCGCGAGGAACCGATGGAGTCAATCTCATCCATGAAGATGATGGAGGGAGCGTGTTCCCGCGCCATGACGAACAGCTCCCTCACCATTCTCGCCCCTGCACAGAAGCCAAGGGCCATCAGGGTGTTACAAGTTCCTCCTGCCCACACTTCTGCTTGGTTCTCAGCATGGTCCTAGTTGCCATTACCTTCCCCGATGAATTTCTGTACCAGTTCAGACCCAGAGACACGGATGAAGGTACAGTCGGTATGGTGAGCCACAGCCCGAGCCAGCAAGGTCTTCCCGGTGCCCGGGGGCCCATAGAGCAGCACTCCCTAGAGGGAAGCAGGGGTCAGGGGTGGGAACGCCTGGTCATGGCTGGTCCTGCTGAGGCAGCTGCAGGTGAGACTCAAATTTCAGGCTGTTCACATATATTGGACTTCCGGCTGACAACTGTGAATGGTCCCCAAATGAACCTTGGCAGAAAAAAGGTTCCCCTCCTGTGTTAGAGAAGATGAACACCATGGGCCCTTCTAGACTGGGCCTCCCGCCCAGCAGCAAAGGGCAGCGCACACGGGCCAAGGCGGCTCACTCCAACCCCTGCATCTGGTCTGGGTGGGATGGAGTCTAGCCTGGCCCCTCACCTTGGGCTGGGCAATGCCCAGGGCTTCAAAGAGCTCAGGGTGCTTGACTGGCAGCTCAATCACTTCCTTGATCTCCTTGATCTGCTTGTCCAGTCCACCGATCATCTCATATGTGGAGTCTGGCACTTTCTCCACCATCATCAGTGACACTAGGGGGTCCACCTTGTTGGGCAGGATCTTGTGCAGTGTGTAGCTGTCATTCCTTAGGGCCACCCGGCAGTTGGGTGTCACCTGAGAAGCGAGCAAGTTTTGGGTAGTGCAGTGATGGCAGCTGCGCCCACCCTTACCTGACCCACCACACTCACATCGTTGATGTCAATATTCTTGTCCACGTCCACAACAAACTTGCCCTCGGGATGTACCTGAAAGAGATTTCCTGTTCTTCCCTGACCACCAGGTGGTCACCCTCCCCAGGGAGACCCGTGACAGTCCTAGCGTTAACAGCTGGACACACAATGCCGTCTTCCTGAGACCCCTTGATAGTGGGATGCTGGGGGCAACGGGCTGGGCCCCGGGGAAGTGACTTTACCTTGACCAACACCTTCTTCTTATCCATGGCCCGGACCACCTCCCCCACGTAGGAGCCCTGCTCCTGCAGCAGCTGCAGCTCCTCCCGCAACAGGCGAACTAGACACAAACACAACCAGTCACCCAGCTTCTACACACAAACACTGCAGAAAGGCCCTGCCCCCGACTTAAAGCCCACATTCATAAGAGGGTCATGCTGGCACATGATCAGACCAGGAGACTCCACAGGTGCTGCATGGAGATCCCGAGCAGTCGGACCTCAGGCAGGTCCCCACCCTCGCCCTCACCTTTGGCATTCAGCTCATTCCTTTGTGCCTGAAGCCGGCGGAGGTTTTGGCTCTTATCATTCACAATCAGCTGTGGAGGGCAAGAGGCAAATGGGGGTGTTCTTAGCCAAGAGCCAGACCGGGAGTGGGAGCGGACGGAAGGGTCCAGGGCAGCTGCGCGCTTGGTGACCCCTCCTGTCCTACAGCCCCGTGAAGTCCAGGGCAGCCATTCTGAAAGGCTCTCACTGGCCCGTGGGGAACGGAATTTCGCTGAAGAGCTACAGCTGATTTGTGCAGGCTTTGTGAGGGGGGAGATGGGGGCAGTGTGATCCAACAGAAACCAGAGTTCTAGCACAGCTGCTCTGGAAAATGAGACAATGCCAAGGTGAGGTATCTCAATGACCTCAACTAGAGCTGTCAGAAAATTGCACCGGGCTGTGGCACCAGCAAACCCACTTGTTGTCAGGCGATTAAGGTGGACAAACAAAATCACACACGAAATGGCTCCAAAAATGGAAGCCCAGGGCTGGCACTGCACATTAAGCCACTGTCAGCAGCACTGGCATCCCATGTGAGCGCTAGTTTGAACTGCGGCGACTCTGCTTCCAATTTAGCTCCCTGCTGATGCACCTGGGAACACAGTGGAGGACGGCCCAAATGCCTGGGCTGCTGACCCACGTGGGAGACTTGGGTAAGGCTCCTGTCTCCAAACTTGGGTATGGCCTGGCCCAGCCCAGGACAGAGTGCCCAGCAGATGGAAGGTCTGTCTCTGTAACTCTGCCTTCCAAATAAATCTTTTTTTTTTAAAGGAAACCAAATACTCAAATAATACATGTAAGCACACCTGGAACTCTGAAGTTTTCCTAAGCCACAGTAATGATTTTCTTATTTCTCCAGGCCCTAATTTCTAGGGCCCTGTTCTGACCAGTGGGCTGGTTGCTAGATTCTTCCATCCAGTCTGGATGCTGTCAGTATCTTCCAGACCCCTCATACTCTGCTCATACCCTGCCCTAACACTTTCCTGATCACTTCATTTGCAGAGCCCATGCCTCTCGCTATGTAAGATTCCTCCAGGAGCTGGCATTCAGCACAGCAGTGAGATGCCCACACTAGAGTGCCACACCAGTGCCTGGCTGCAGCCCTGGCTACAGTTCCGATACCAGCTGCACTAACGTGCACCCTGGGAAGGCCACAGGTTGAGGGCTCAGCACATGGGAGACCTAGCGGGGAGTCAGGCCCAGCTCTGGCCGTTGTGGGCACTTGGAGAAGTAAACTGGCAGATGGAAGATTGTTCACATAAATTGAAGAACCAAACCAAACAACAACAAAAAAGCCCCTTTCATCTACATTCCTTCCAACAGGGCTGCCCTGCAGCCAGCAGCCCCTCTTCTGTTAACATTCTCTCTTTTTTTAAGACTTACTTATTTTTATTGGAAAGACATATTTTCCAGGGAGAGAAGGTCTTCCCAACTGCTGGTTCACTCCCCAAATAAATGTGATGGCCAGAGCTGGGCATATTCAAAGTTGGAGCCAGGAGCTTCTTCCAGGTTTCCCACTTGGGTGCAGGACCCCAAGGCTTTGGGCCATCCTTCACAGGCCACAAGCAGGGAGATGGATGGGAAGTGGAGTAGACAGGCCAGGAACTGGCACCCATATGCGATGCTGGCATCACAGGGTGGAAGATCAGCTGTGGAGCCACTGTACTGGCCCCTGCGTGTCGACTCTAAGTACTTAAATTTTCTGCAATTTAAACCAAATAAGCTCATTTTTACAATGAAGTAGAATGATCAGATGCAGACTGGAGAAGAAAGATAAAGAATGTCAGGAAAGAGACAGGGTAGGAATACACAGCCCAGAAAAAAGCAAAAACAAACAACAACAAAAAAGGAATACACAGCCCAATCAAACTCATTATTAAAGAGAATTAATTCCTCAGAGGTGATCAACCGTGGGCATGTAGATGGATCAAACAGGCCTGGCACTGACCTAGTCCTTCAGCAAGCTGCAGAGGGAGTGGGGCCCCACAGACAAGAGACGGTTAGCGTGTGTTTTATATTCCTTTATACTTCTACTCATCCAGATCCTAAAAACTAACGCACAAGCTCTCCCCCTGGCCCTCCCCCAATGAGAGGCATCCTCAATCCACTTCCCGCCCCCGCTGGGGCTGCCCTCACCTGCAGCTCTTCGATCTTGGACAGGTAATACTGGCGCAGTCCGCTGCCCGCCTTCCCCTCTTCCAGCTCCATCTGAAAACACGGGGTCATCACTCAACACACCCCACAGCCACCAGGAAGCAGGTACGTCCAGGGCCCCTCACCACGAAGCTTCCAGCGAGCAGTTCTGTGTGTAAGAGGAGCTTGGGCCGACGATTCGGCTTCTGAACGCCCCCATCCCTCCCTCCGATCACTCCGTTTTCCTCTAACCGCCGCCTGCCCCCTCCCTGGACTCCAAGGAGAACCAGACGCCGTGTCAAGCGCTCCGCCAACAGGCGTGATCGCTGCGGACGGAGCCCCGGGGGAGGACGGACGTCCCGTCCCCCTGCTCCCATTCACTCGGCTTTTGCGATTCCTTCTCGCCCAGCACTGCCGGCCCACGACGCGCGGCGCTGACACAGCAGATCCTGCCCCAGCGCAGGGCCCGGCCTGAACGAGTACGGCCATCCGAGACCCCACTAGAAACCCCCGGGGCGGCCCGCTCCCCGGCACCTCGGACAATGCCCTTCCTCCTGCAGCCCCGGCCCTGCCCCGACACCGCACCTGCTCCGGCCCGTCCAGCGCCATCTTCGCTTTTCACGGGAGACCGCCGGCCTCCCGGGCGCCTAGGAGCGCAGGCGCGGAAGCGGAGTGGGAGGGCGGGGCTGACGACCCGGCAGAGAGGAGTTCCGGGTCAAAGGGTGTTAGAGTGAGAGAAAGGTAACAGTAAATAATAAGGGCCATGCTGGGAAGGGCGGCTACTGGAGTTCAGGAGTTTGGGAAAGAGTTTAAGGAGGGAATGGAATTGCAAAGTATCGCTTCCCTAAAATACTTTTTATTTCTTGTAATCTGCATTCCTGATGTTAACGTTCAACTTCTACAATGAGGAAAGTGACGTAGAGAAAACTTAATGGCCACTCCCGAAATGGCGGAAACCTCGGCGCCAGCGACGTAGGCGGCGTCAGCGGAAGCGGAAGTACATTTGCCTGCTGCTTCCATGTGCGGCTCTTCGGGTGGGCAAGGCGGTTCTGGGTGGCGGTGATCGTGTGGGAATTCTGCTCCCCGGTGACCGCGCGGACGGGCTCGCGGCAGGCGGGAGGTAGCGCTTCGAGGTCGGACTGTTTCTGCGCAGGTTGAGTGGCACTTCCTCGTCCCGCCATGGGCAAGAAGGGCAAAGTCGGCAAGAGCCGACGAGACAAGTTCTATCACCTGGCGAAGGAGACGGGTGAGCCGGGGTCTGCGCCGCAGCGCGTGTCCCCCTTGCGCGGTATTGCGTTCTCGGGCAGCAGCGGGTGGCGGGCTGTGAGACCCGGCCACCTGATGACCGTGTCGCCGCCGCTGCAGGCTACCGTTCCCGCTCTGCTTTCAAGCTCATCCAGTTGAATCGGCGTTTTCAGTTCCTGCAGAAAGCCCGCGCCTTGCTGGACCTGTGTGCGGCGCCGGGAGGATGGTGCGTTAACTCCTACGCGCTCACTCCTGTGAACAGTGGTTGTGTTGGTGTTGGGGAAAAGATTTACGATCCACCCGCAGTAACCATAGCCTGATCTGTCTCCTGCTAAGCGCAGGTCTCCTAAACCCTGGAGTGTGCACCCGGGACACACTCTGGGACTATTTTACTTGGCAAGGGCTCCTGACACCAGAGGTGAGGGGTCGTGTTGCCAAGGCAGGAATCTGCTTCTGTTGTAGGCTGCAGGTGGCTGCCAAGTTTATGCCTGTATCCAGTCTTATTGTGGGTGAGTGACGGGAGGCTGTCTGGAGGGTGTGAGCCCTAGCCTTCATCCTCCATGTCCCTCCTTCCTGCTGGCGATAGAGCTGTGGAATACTAATACCTCCATCTTTTCCAGGAGTGGACCTGGTGCCCATCAAGCCTCTGCCCAACGTGGTGACCCTGCAGGAGGACATCACGACGGAACGCTGTAGGCAGGTGATGATCGTCTCCAGCTTCCAATTCCCCAAATCCTGCAGAGGTGAAAACTCGTTTATCGTGCTCTGAGCAAGTTCCTGCAGAACATCTGTGTGACAAGACCATGGTAGCCCTTGTGTCCCCTAGCTGTGGGTGAGGGCTCACTGTAGAACTCTAAGCGACACAAAGATAGGGTGGCGTTTTTGTTACTGTTGGGGAGCCCTGTGCCCGTAATAGGATTTGACTCATAGTGGACACCCAACAAGCTGCTGGGGGAAGGGGGACCAGTGGCTGAGTCAGGGTCTTCACTCGTAGCCACTCTTCCTGTCACAGTGATCCCTTCCCTTCTCTAGGCCCTGAGAAAGGAGCTGAAGACCTGGAAGGTTGACGTTGTGCTCAATGATGGGGCCCCCAACGTTGGGGCCAGCTGGGTCCATGATGCTTACTCACAAGGTGCTGGGAATGTGGGTCCTGGAGAGTAGGGTGGTCACGTCATCCCAGGCTACAGAGGGCCTCAGCTGCCCACGTCTCTCCTGCAGCCCACCTCACGCTGATGGCTCTGCGTTTGGCTTGTGATTTTCTGGCCCGTGGTGGCTACTTCATCACAAAGGTCTTCCGCTCCCGCGACTACCAGCCTCTGCTATGGATCTTCCAGCAGCTGTTCCGCCGTGTCCAGGCCACCAAACCCCAGGCCTCCCGCCATGAATCTGCAGAGATCTTTGTTGTCTGTCAAGGTGGGCTTCCCTTTGAGCTTTCTGTTGACTAGCTGCCCAACTATCAAAGCACAATTTTTTTTTAAAGTGTTTATTTTGCATCTACAGAGCCACAGACATAGAGATTTTTCCATTTGCTGGCTCACTCCATAAATGCTGCAGTAGCCAGGGCCGGGGCTAGGCCTGCACTAAAAACCCAGAGAGCCCTCTGTGCACTTCCCACTTGGGTGGCAGAACCAAAATACCCAAGCCGTCTTCTGCCATCTCCCAAAATGCGCTGGCAGGAAGCTGGATTGGAAGCAGAGTGGCCAGAACTCAGTGGCATCTAATGTGGGATGCAAGTGTCCAAAGTGGCACCACAAAGCCTGCCCCTCCCTGCAGCATGCATTTTATTATTATGTCTTTTTAGGATTCCTGGCTCCTGATAAGGTTGACAGTAAATTCTTTGATCCAAAATTTGCTTTCAAGGAGGTTGAAGTCCAGGCTAAAACTGTTACTGAGTTGGTGACCAAGAAGAAGCCAAAGGTGTGTTTGGTGGAGAGGGTTCTGGAACTCTGGGGAGACTGAGCCTGGTGGTCCTGTAGATATCTTACAAGGGACTGCCAGGCAGCCTCATTTCTCTCACTAAGGCTGAAGGCTACGCAGAGGGTGATCTCACCCTCTATCACCGCACCTCAGTCAGCGATTTCCTCCGAGCTGCCAACCCTGTCGACTTCCTCTCCAAAGCCAGTGAGGTGAGTTCCCAGACTTTGAAGGTTGTAGGAGAGCCCCATAACCATGGCCTGGAAACATCCTGACTCCTTCCCTTCCCCCTAAAAGATCTCGCTGGATGATGAAGAGCTGGCACAGCACCCAGCTACCACCGAGGACATCCGGGCCTGCTGTCAGGACATCAAGGTGCTGGGACGCAAGGAGCTCAGGTATGCAGCAGGGGAGAAGCCTGTGGAAGCCATGCCGGTGTGCTAGAGGGTGCTAGAGGGGGCAGACACATGGACCAATCCTATTTCTCTGACAGGTCCCTCCTGAACTGGAGAACAAAGCTTCGGCGCCATGTGGCCAAGAAGCTGAAGGAGCAAGCAAAGGCTCTGGACATCAGGTGAGGGTGGAGCTAAACCAAAGTAGATGCTGACTAGATGAAGCCTCTGGCAAACTGACAAAACTTCTGGATCGTTCTGTCAGCCTCAGTTCAGGAGAAGAGGAAGATGATGATGAGGAGGAGTCAACAGCTGGGATCCCAGAAAAACCCTCTAAGGAGGAGGAGGAGGAAGAGCAGCTGGACCGGACACTGGCTGAGATGAAAGCCCAGGAGGTGGCAGAATTAAAGAGGTGAGGTGAGGCAGGGTAGGTATTTGGCTTAGTGGCCAGCCATTGAAGCTCCTGCTTCATGCTGATGAACACCCAGGGAGGCACCAGACATTAGGTCAAGTTCCTACCACCCACATGGGAGACCTGGATTGAGTTCATGGCCTGCAGCTGGCCCAGACTTGGCTTTTGTGGCCATTTGAAGAGTTAAGTAGTAGCCTCACTGCAAAATTCCTGGGTGAAGAAGGTTGGAGAAGAGTGACCGATGTGAATAAAACATGAATAGAGCTGGGCAGGTTAGAGCCACGACCTCTTCCTTCAGGAAGAAAAAGAAGCTGCTGCGTGAGCAGAGAAAGCAGCGGGAGCGAGTGGAGCTGAAGATGGACCTGCCCGGGGTCTCCATCGCCGAGGAAGGAGAAACGGGCATGTTCTCACTGCGCACCATCCGGGGCCACCAGGTGAGCTGGGCCCAAGGATGCTCGGAGTGTGCCCGCGGCAAAGCTGCATGTCCTAAAAGTGAATCATCAGGCTTTGGTTGCTACCTTGAACTACAGAAATCACTTGGCAAGGCTACTGGGGGAACCCTGTGATTCAAAGGCCAAAAGAAAAACTTGGATGATGAAATCAGATTTGAGTGTGCTAGATTTATCCTTTAAGAGCTGGCACATTAGGACTGGAGTTGCGATTAGAATCCATGCAGCCAGGGTACTACTTGGTACTACTTGGGTTACAAGCGCAGTTAGAGGGTCTCCCCCACAAGTCCCTGAGACTAATTCACCCTGTTAGGCTATGCAGTGGTGCTTTTGTGACTGCAGCTCAATATGCTTCCTAATCCAGTGGTGGGAATGGCCTAATTAAGTCCCCCTTGTCCTGCAGGAGAGCATGGAGACACTAGACCTGACACAGGCTGTCCCCACATCCTAGCTGCCAGACATTACCCAGAATCCCACAGCCTGCCTTTGCATTCTTCCCTACAGTGGTTACATAGGAAAATAGCAGCCATCTTTGCCATGAGGAAAATAGATTTTTGAGGTTTCTCTAGTCTGCCTAGGTGAGATATTTCTATAAATTGTCTGGCTGCCTTTATTTGGCAGAAAATTGGGATATATACAGTTACTTCCTTGGGAGGTGACTGAATGCCTTTTCCAAGTAACTGAAGGAAGGCAACAAGCAGGCATTTAGCCTGAGGACCAGGGCACCTTTGTCGTGTAGCACAGGACCGGCACTGAATCCTGGCTCTGGCTTCTGCCTTTAGCCATGAGAATACAGCCCCTGGGCGGCAGCTGTGACCCGAGTTGAACTCTGTTCTGGCTCTGCTCATTGGGAGCATTTGAGGAATGAGCCAGTAGAGTTCTTTCTCCCAAATAAAACAAACACTAGTATTTTAGAAAATTTCAAAATTTGCTTTATGAGCTATGGGGGTACTTTAACAGAATACTCGTTTGTGCTACCGCTGAACACAGGTTAGTGCCTTAGAACAGCATGTTTTCATGTCTGGTGGTGTTGCTTAAGGTAAACTAAGACAATGAGCATGGGACTAAAGCACCATGTTTGCCACGTTTCAGTTGTTAGAGCAAGTCATGCAAGGAGACATGAGCACTGCAGACACATTTCTGTCTGATCTGCCAAGGGATGACATCTATGTGTCAGATGCTGAGGAGGAGGAGGAATCTTTGGACAGTGACCTGGACCCAGAGGAGCTGGCAGGAGTCGGGAGACATGAAAGCCTGAAGGAACGAAAGCGG